TTAGGGTGTAACACAAAAAAATAACTAAAAATTGAAAGAAGGCATTTAATATACAAATAAAAGAAAAACAACCAGGAACTTCTTAACACTATAACAAAAAGAGGGAAGTAGTTCAACGTCAGGGTCTCCAGGCCAAAACAACAAACAAAACCACCCCTTTAGCTAAAACAAAAAACATGCAACCCTTCTCTAATGAAAAGAAACAAATACAATGCCTGGGCTACACTGGCTGTCCACAAAACAGGAGAAAACGGTGCATCAAAGAAAAAGGCAGAGAACCCCTACCAAATACTTCCCAACTAATAAAACAATGAACTTCTAGTACAACCAGTATCACTAAATACTACTGGTATCACAGTAGCTTATGCTACACAGGTTTTAACACCTTCACAATCACCAAAACAGTCTGTGCCCAGGAGTTAGGGGCTGGGGCGCTGGCTGGCTGGAGCTTTTATGCAGGTCCATTGATGAGGAGCAAATGATCCCAGCTGGCCACCCGGGTGTGGCAGCAGACCTGCAAACAAACACCAAACAGGAAGCTCTCTACTCCAAGAGAGCCCCTACAGGTCAATGGCCGTAACACCATCCCCCATAAAAGATTTTTACACAGTAAAAATACAACACTATTAAGTTCTACCATGCTAAGGGTATAAACTTGGTACTCTTGAGAGGGCATCGGCGATCACATTGTCTGCTCCTTTTCTATGCTGGATGTCCAGGTTGTATTCCTGGGCCAGTAATGCCCAGCGCATTAACCTTTGGTTACGATTGTACATCTGCTTGAGGAACACCAAAGGGTTATGGTCAGTGTACACTGTGACAGGATATGACGTTGAACCGACATAAACATCGTAATGTTGTAGAGCCAGGAGCATGGCTAAAGTCTCCTTCTCAATGGTTGAGTAGTTAAGCTGATAAGACTTAAACTTAGCTGAGAAGTAGGAAACCGGGTGGTTGAGGCCATCTGCCCCTTCTTGCAACAACACCGCTCCAGCCCCAGTAGCCCTTGCGTCCACCTCCAGTTTGAAGACTTTGTCAAAGTTTGGAGCTGCCAATACAGGTGCACTACAGAGAAGAGACTTGGCAGAAACAAAAGCCTGTTGACAGTCAGCATCCCACACAAAAGGTTGCTTGGTGCTGCACATCTTTGTTAGAGGAGCCACCACTGTGGAAAAGTTTTGGCAAAAACACCTGTAATAGCCAACCAAACCCAGAAAACGGCGGAGTTCACGTCTGGTGGTTGGCATAGGGTAGTGTATGATGGCTTCCACTTTTGCGTTTACGGGGCGTACCTGGCCATGACCCACTTGTTTTCCCAGATATGTTACCACAGCTTTAGCAAACTCACATTTTGCCAGATTCAGTGTTAAGGAAGCTTGGTCAAGCCTGTGGAAAACATCCCTTAGGGTGTTCATGTGATCATTCCAAGTAGAAGAATGAATTACAATGTCGTCCAAGTAAATATTACAATGTTCCACATCACCCAATACCGAAGTCATGAGTCGCTGAAAGGTGGCTGGAGCATTGCACATCCCGAATGCCATTACTTTATATTGCAAAAAATGGTCGGGGGTTACGAAAGCAGAAATGTCTGATGCCCTAGGGGTCAAAGGTACTTGCCAATACCCTTTTAACATGTCCAGTTTTGTTATGTAGGTAGCTGCACCAATGCTATCTACACAGTCTTCCATGCGAGGTAATGGAAATGAATCTGGGGTTGTGACAGCATTCACTTTCCGATAATCTGTACAAAAGCGAACAGAACCATCTGGCTTAGGTATCAGAAGACATGGAGAACTCCACGAGCTGTGGCTTCGTACAGCCAAATCATTTTCAAGGAGATATTGTACCTCTTGCTTCATTATTTCCCTTTTAAGGGGAGGGCAACGATGCGCATGCTGTTTAATCGGTGTCACACCGCTTACATCAATGTCATGCTGTATCACAGATGTCCGAGACGGTACGTCTCCAAATATGGTAGGGTAGGCCTCAATGAGGCCTTTCACATCCTCCTTCTCATCACTGGAAAGATAAGAAAGGTAGTCATTTAGGGTGGCAAGTATCATTGAATTTGAAAGTCGACCACCATGTTGACCTTCTCTACTTATTTTTAAACCATCATCATGGTTGAGGGGTACAGACACCAGAGCGACAGAAGCTGCCTTTGTAGTTTCACCACCAGTTTGGTCTTTGCATCCTCCTTCCCTGGACAGAAAAGGCTTCAACATGTTCACATGACACAGCCGGGTTTGGCGCCTCCTGTCAGGAGTGTGGACAATATAGTCTGTGTCATTTACTTTGGTTTTCACATAATATGGGCCAGTGAACTGGGCTGATAGAGAGGGGCCCGATGTGGGCACCAGCATAAGTACTTGGTCACCAGGCTGAAAAACACGCATTTTGGTCTTTTTGTCAAACAGACGCTTCATGTTGTGTTGGGCAGTGGACAAAGATGTCTTGGCTATGGAGCAAGCACGATATAGCCTTTCATGACACTGGGTGACAAAGTCAAGCACATTTGTTTGGGGTTGGGGGCCGGCAGACAAGAAGTTTTCCTTTAGTACCTTCAATGGCCCTCTTATTTTATGCCCAAAGATCAGTTCATTTGGGCTGAAACCAAGAGACTCTTGTTTCGCCTCACGAGCTGCAAACAATAAGAAAGGTAATCCTTCATCCCACTGTTTCTCAGTTTCAAAACAGTACTTTCGAATCATCGATTTTAAAGTCTGATGCCATCTTTCCAGTGCTCCCTGTGACTGGGGATGGTAAGGGCTAGATGTGAGATGTTTGATGCCAAAAGACTTTAACGTCTGTTTGAACAGTTTAGATAGAAAATTGCTGCCTTGATCGGTTTGTATGGTTCGTGGCAGTCCAAATATTGTGAAAAACTTAAGGAGTGCTTTACTTATTGCTGGAGCGGTGATTCTCCGAAGAGGAACAGCTTCAGGGAATCGGGTTGCAGCACACATTATCGTCAAGAGGAATTGATTACCGGTTCTTGTTTTTGGTAGAGGGCCCACACAGTCCACTAAAACACGCTCAAAAGGCTCACCAACAGCAGGAATGGGACTAAGGGGAAAAGGTGGTACCACCTGGTTGGGTTTTCCCACAATTTGGCAAACCTTGCACATTTTACAGTACCTGGCAACATCTTTCTTCAAGCCCGGCCAGAAGAAATGCTGAAGGATGCGGTCGTAAGTTTTTGTTATCCCTTGATAACCAGACGAAGGGTGGTCATGTGCCAGATGCATTATTTCTTCTCGGTAGCCCTTTGGAATGACCACTTGGTGTACAACACCCCAATCATCATCACCTTCCTTTTGCAGGTCTGGTCGCGAAACCCACTTCCTTAATAGCAGCCCATCCTCAAAGAAAAACTGGTGTGACAGTCTTTTATCTTTGTTGAGTGCCCCTTAAAAACATTTAAAAAGTGTTACATCACTTTTTTGAGCTTTGCTCAAACACTCACGTGAAACTGGTAGAGAAAGATCCTCTGGGTTAATGGTTGGGCTCAGATCAACAGGTTCGAGTTCAGAAGGGTCAGCAGCTGATAGCCGGTCCTCTATCAAAGCCAATCCTAAAAGGGAATCACTCAAGTTTAGGTCCTCCAGCTTATTAACCTGGGACCTAGTAAGGACACTAGCAGAAAACACATCCGGATGGGATCGCAACAGGTCATCTTCTTCTAACAGGGACTTCGGTTTATCCACCACCACAGGCATAGGAATCACCTTGTCCCCTGCAATATCATTTCCCATTATGAAATCAACTCCAGCGACAGGAAATGACTGTCTCACAGCCACATCAAAGACACCTGAAGCCAACTTTGACTTTATAAAGACCTGATGTAATGGTACCGGTACATAGTCCATCCCAATCCCTTGTACTATTGTACTGGCTTTACAGGATGAAGTACTACTGAAGGGCAGACAATCAGACAGAATAAATGACTGGGAACCACCAGTGTCCCTCAGAATCTTTACTGGTTTCTGATCTTCCTGCTGACCTGTCAGAGACAAAACCATCAAAGATGAAAGGTTTAAAACATCTCTGCTCTTTTCCTCTACACCCCCCTCCCCCTTGCTGTTTGTGTGTGTTTGTCCGTGTGTGAACTTATGGTGTGAAAGTTGTTAATAGCTGGCCTATGACTTTCTGCCTCTGTCCTGTTTGCTCCGGTTGATAGACACCCAAAACCACACCCCCTTCACGTGGTCACACACACACACACACACACACACACACACACACGCACGCACGCACGCACGCACGCATGCACACACACACACATGGTTTTTATGCAGTGTCTGTTTACAAACACATTTGACTATCGCGGAATTGTATTTTGAAATGCTTTATTTTGTTAAATTTACCGGCCTGCCTCTTATGTCTAGGTTTGACTTCCTGCCAGAATTGACACAGTTCACCCGCGGCTCGCGAACAAAAAAAAAACAGCAGACGCCGAAACGATCGCTGCACGGCATGGGCTGGAGCGCCGGCACGCGGGCGGCCCATGTGGTCTATAGAATAGGATAACAAGGGCGCAGAATGAAGGCGGTCCTCGTTTCGAAGTGCTTCGGCAGCCGGTGTCCCCCCAGCGTCAGTCTGAAACCACGTGATTGGGCCGATTTCCGATCATGTTATCGGATCGGGACATCCCTAGTAAATAATGTAATATATACTAAAAGTGGATAATTTTTAAGGTTTCTCCTTGGTGTATTACATGTGATCTTTTAGGGGGGCCAGGCTCCCCTTAGCTCCACCGCAGTTCTAACCCTTAATACCACAGTTTTAATTTGTGTGCCAAATAAGTTTGTGCTATACGGTAGTCTTTGTCCTACTGCTACAAATGTTTATGATCATAAATTAATGGTGACATGTCTCATAGTTCACTAAAAGCCTGATTTGTAGTTTCATTGATCCTTACAAGTTGAACCTTGTAGGGATGTCGACTTATCCAATGACAAGAAGCCTAGCTACAACAAACAAATGAACCAATTAAATTGCCTTTTTTTTTGTGCAAAATTTATTTCAGTTGATCTTTCATGAACTTCAGTCAGAATTCAAGTACTTTAAAAACAGCACCCTCTGTTCTAGTCTCATATTTTAACCCTGGGGGAGGGTTAAAGGAAGCTTGGTCCTGCTTCAGTTATAATCAGGTCAAAAGCTGGTTCTTTAGTTTTTTATTACCTTTAACACAAAGTGATAACCAGCGCTGAATAAGCCAAAACACACGATAAAGTGGCCTTGGGAATGTGTCTAATAATTTCATGGACAACCAGAGACCAAGACAAACATCTTTGGTGTATTGTCCTCTGATAGTACATTAACTGGATGGACTACTTATTTCCTGGCAATAGGAATTGCCTCCTTGAGCAAGATGTAATCAGTGACACATGATGGCATGTATGACAGCGGCAGCCAGAAAAGCTTGGCGTCCCAGCCGGGGGAGTAGCGTTTGCGGGGACAGGTGGCGGAAATGGCGTGCTCCATGCAGTCGACCACCTTCATCAGATCAGCGTCAGCTAGCTTCGACACCTTTCCTTCGATCACTTTTATCGCTGGGGAGGTGGTGGGGAAAGCACATATTAGAAAACAAGACATGAAACTGAGTTAAAAGAGGAAAAATATGAACCACTTGTACCCTTTTGAACGTAATCACTTCCGTAGTCGTCCTTGATGTTCTGGGGCAGGCGGTCCCACAGGTCTTTGACGTTTTTGATATGGATCTGACTGTCAGTCACGTTGGTTTTGAAGAAGCCTGGCTCAATGCAAAGGACTTTGACACCAAAAGGAGCCATATTTATCCTGAAAAAGGCAGTTAGTTTTTAACAAATCTTTATGTCAACATTCTGGAAGATAAGACAAGGAAATATTTCACCTGAGGCTGTCGTTGAATGCCTCCACGCCATACTTTGAGACACAATATGGACCCCCAACGGGGCTGATCCTCCCAAAAACACTTGCAACATTCACCACTCTCCCTTTGGCCTTTTTGATTAGTGGCAGCACACTCAGGGTGACGCCGATCACCCCGTACAGGTTGACGTCCAGCATGGCTTTGTAGTCATCCAGGATGTGCCAATCGCATGGGCCGGTGGGAACCGCTACACCAGCATTGTTCACCACAGCCCAAAGACCTGGAATAGAAAACATCCAGGTATTTCTATAAAATGTCCAAACTTTGAAAAGTAAAAATATGTAAATGATCACAGGGTTTGAGGGTTCACCCTACCAATTAAAAGTGCAGTGTGGAGGGAACATTTCATTGTTTTTGGTCATTAGAAAAATATCAATGAAAGATGTGTTTTACGTGTTCTGTTCAGAGTCTGGTAATTTCTAAGGCCTAGTCCACACGTAGCCGGTTTTTTTTAAACGAATATCCGCCCCTCCAAAAACTTGCATCCACACCACATCGTTAAAAAAAAAAAAACTCTGTCCACACGTACCCGGATAAATACGTTAAGGACATGCCAGACCTGTAGGCGGCAGTCCTTCCCCCGTTCTTAACCTCGTCCTTCGTCTGTGGTCTTCTGCAAGGAGCAGTAATTCCGCTTGCAAAAACAAACAAGCAAAAAGCGCTTGGACAATTGATAAAGCGAGCGCAGCTCTGAGGGCATCCATGCTGTCGGCTAGTGTAAACACAGGTCGCACACGTGATGTCAGCATTTTTTTGTCGCAGAAAGTGACGTTGCGGACCTTAAAACTCCGGTTTTGTCTGTCCACACGCAGACACCCAAAACGGAGAAAACGCAGATCTGCACTTTGGCCGGAGTTTTTAAAAAGATCTGTTTTCGTGTGAAAAAACTCTGTTTTCGTGTGGATGACAGGCCAAAACGTAGAAAAATATCTACGTTTTGGCAGATCCCCGGCAACGTGTAGACAGGGCCTAAGTGATGGACCCATTGTCTGAACACAGCTTGTCCTGTTGGCTCGTAGAGTTGTCTGGATACTAAAGGAAATCTGCTTCAGCGGGCTAAATAAATTACTGCCAACATTGGGACTCGAACCGGCGACAGGACATGGTAAAACAAGATTAAAGGCAGACGCTTCATCCAGTGGAATACCACAGCCAATAAATGGTCAATGGCTTGTATTTGTATAGTGTCTTCTTAGGGTTCTACAACCCCAAGCTGCTTCACAACACAATCAGTACCACACCTATTCACACACAGGGGATGATGGGCTACAATGTAGCCACAGCTGTCCTGGGGCGGACAGCGGAGGCGAGGCTGCCAATCACAGACACCACCGCAAGACAAGTTAGGCGTCTTGCCACAGCAACATCATTCTCTTGCGGGAGCCAGGATCAAACCTACATCCTTCCGATTACTGGACAATCCACTATACCTCCTGAGATACTGCTGCCCCCAACAATTGACTTGCCAAAGACTTTGCGGTAGGTGCGTTTTGTGGAAGCGGGTGTGGGCGGAGCTTCACTGAAAAAAAAAACCGTTTCATTTCTGGGTACACATTTTTAAGTTAAGAAGGAGATTTGTTCTGTAAGCTAATTGCACCAAAAATTCAAAAAGATAAATAATTCAGTGACCATTTATCCATTTGTGTTTAGCTGTGTGACCAAGTGAAACAGTTGTGCATTAACACAGTTCTAAATATGACCCAAGAAACAGCTGATTTAGAATTACCACTTGCCATACCCTTACCCTGTAAATACTTCAACAATCCATCAGGTTAGAATTCAAATACACTCACCGCGCTCTCCTACTTGGTCTGTGATCATCGCCGTGACTTTGGCCACGCTCTCCTTTGAAGTAACATCCAGGTGGGTGGTGATCAGGTTGCCAGAGCAGGTCTTCTTCAGACTTTCCTCACCCTTCTCGGTGAAACACCCCGCGATCACCCGAAAGCCCAGCTTGTCCAGGTGCCGAGCTAAGAGGTTACCAAAGCCGCTGTCGCAGCCTGTGATGTACACAAACTTTCCACCCTTGTCGGACACCCTGGGTTGCTCCTTTACCCAGCGGTACAGGTAGAAGAGAACCACCACACCCAGTAGATACAGGTACATGTCTGTAACGTCACAATCGTTGTGTGAGTCACAGTACTTCAGTTACAGCAGTTTTATACAAATGTATACTATATCAACTATTTATCCAGGTTTGTCCCAATGGCATCAGAGACTCAAAAACAAAGGTTTTAATCATCACTTAGAAGGCCCCCAAGGGAAAGTCGGCTTAGTTTTACATTAACATGGATTCCTTCACCGTAGGTGGTAATGTCCATTTTCACTGAGGCGCCTAAAAACTTCATAAATGTTACCCTCCAGCTGGAAAAATGAACGTTTTATAAAAGTGAAAAAAATGTTAGCACAAGGTAAAAAAAAACTAAAAAAAACTCATTAAACTACAATTTTTATCATCTGGCCCAAAAAGGGTTCGCTCTTCAAAATACAATAAAATGTTCTGGATAAATAACATGTTTCAAATGTCTCCTCATCAAACATTTTCAATTATTTCAGACTAAATCATTGAGATATTTTTTACTCACTTTCACGTTTGTATGCCTCTGTTGAGGTTTTGGATCATGTAAACACAGATACAGAACCTTTGTTGACTTAAATGCCCACAGAGACAAAACACAACCATATTCACACCACTCAGTCCCATAGCACCAAGGCCATTTTTCATGTCCATGCAATTTGAAATGAAGGAGAGCAAGGACTCTTTTAAAAGATTACGTGATGATCATCGGTCCCTGGTGGTCTGGGAAGCTTAATTTATTTAATGACGACAGATAATTGCTGTAGATCACAAAATATTTATAATGGGAATCAATTGGACCAAAAAGAACCAGAGGGTAAAGAGATATTTGAATATATTATACACAACAGAGATGATCGTGGGATCTTAAAAGTAATAATTTAAAGTAAATTCTGACCAAGTTTCATATAATTTGTCTCTAAAATGACACATAAATTGAGAAGAAAAGCTAAGCTTACATTTTCATTTATTATGAATCACCAAATATTCTTTTCTCTACAGCTGTTTTTAAAAGCTTTTTCTCAAAAATTCTTCGTGCCACTAAGTACTCAAGCACATCTTGAGGACCACTGTTAGTGCTTGTACCGTACGTTGAGAACTGCTGAGTTGTCAGATTTGCACATTGTGTTATTCCTGGTATTAGATGCATGAAACAAGAAATTACAGTTTTAGTTTAATCGCCAGAGTGCGTCATTATACTTGGAACTGGCGCTTGTATGAGTTCAGACAAGATTCAGCACACCAAGAGCTTTGTTAGTCATTCACTAAACATCAACTTACAGAAGAGCTTCACCGCGAGTCACAGATGATAGCTTAGTGAACTAACTGCTGATGAAAGCTGGAAAAGCTAATTTCTGCTCTTTAAACACAGAAGTTAACCAGTAGGAGGGTAATTATGAGGAGAACGGTTGAAGCCATTGGCCGATTTTCCATCTTTTGGCTGTTTTTAACTGCTAAAGTTAACTGATAACAGATGACCTCAATGAAGCAAATAATTTATATTTATATATAAATAAATGTTGGCATATTAATATTGGGACAGGAACAACCCCTTTTAGTTCTATATTAAAGGATCATGGGGCAGGAAAATTCTGTCCTGAACTTCCTGTCCTGTCCTACAGGTGTGTCTCCATGACGTGAGTCAAAAACCAGATTTGATAAAAGTCGGGCATGGACCCGAATGTGTATTGGATACGCGACTGATGAATGGAGGCTGCTTTAACTCAATCTGAGACTGATAAAGAATGCTGACATTGCTCATTTCCTAGTGACCAAGTAAGTAACATTATTGGCTGTGTTCGGAACTCTATATGACAATGACCACCGATGACTGGGACAGGGCTAGCATGAAGTAGCATTAGCTGTGAACATCATGCTGCAGCAGCAGCATTAGCTGTGATCATCATGCTACAGCAGTAGCATTAGCTGTGATCATCATGCTACAGCTGCAGCGTTAGCTGTGATCATCATGCTACAGCAGCAGCGTTAGCTGTGATCATCATGCTACAGCAGCAGCGTTAGCTGTGATCATCATGCTACAGCAGCAGCGTTAAGGTTGGTTTATGCTTGACGCGTCCGCGAGGTCCGCACGGCTCCGCGCGGAAAAGTTGCGTCATTTTAACAACCACGCCCCTCCACCGCGTCTCCGCACGGCCCAAGATTTCCGCAACGCGCACTTCGGAAAATTTCTAACCACGCGGACGGTCGGACGCGGAAAAACATGGCGGACCGGCACGGCAGAGGTTCGTAAATACAGACATTTGTATGATTCAGCTCTCAGAGATCACCGTGATCAACATGTTGTTAATAATTCTTGGAGAGAAATAGCTCGCACTGTCGGAAAAGACGAGGACGCTGTTAAAAATGCTGAAATACCATGTTGTAAACAGTCATTTTTACTTCTACTATGGTGTAGTGTTGGATGCATGCTGTAGAGCTCCATGCTGCCCCGTTCAGTTTGGGAGAATATTGACTCACCGCAGAGACGAGCCGCACAAACCATAAACGCTGCGAGTTGTGAAGCGCGTTCCAGCCGTGAGCCGCATCACCACGCGGAAAGTGAATGCGTCAAGCATAAACCAAGCTTTAGCTGTGATCATCATGCTACAGAAGTAGCGTTAGCTGTGATCATGCTACAGCTGCTGTGTAAAACTGAATGTTTAGATACTGAACATTCTTGACACCGAACACCAGAGTCATTAGAATTATGTCATATTTGACTTACAGCCCAACCTGTAAGCTGGGCTAATCCTTTAGCAGGTTTGTGTTTGTGTAACATAGCTGCTTCTGCAGCATCTGAGTTTGTGTGTGCTCCTGTGCTGTGCTGTAGTCACTTGCAGCGTCAGCCGCGTTTCTTCAACCTGCCCCATGCTTGTTTAACGTAGAAAGCTAAATGATCTGTTCAAATTCTAAAAACAAGCTGGTGAATTAAACCGGCTTAATCTGTAATGGGCCAATTTAAACTTCAGATTGTTTTAATAAATGATTATTATGTCAGCAAATTCAATATTTGTTGTTACCAGTAGAACTTAAAATATCTATTGGCTTAAGAATTCTTTATAAATTTAGCACCATAGTCAATTTTCAGCTTAAGCTCCAACTTTGATAGGCAAGTGTTTATTTGGAACATTCAATTAACACATTTAATGCTTTATTTTTGTGACATTGAAGCTTTCCACACTTCTAGCGGTTTTTGGCACCATTGTTATTCCATACTTGGAATCTGACCCTCTCTGGCTGATAAGCGCGTCTCCTTTGCCCCTTGAACAAACTTTTCAGAAAACGCTAAATCTTTTATTAACTTAAAATAAGCTTTAAGCAGCCCAGAAAAATCCACGTCTTCGTTTAAAATCCAGAACACGAGTTTGAAACGTGATTGCTGAAGTTTAGTTTTAACCGTGTTTTCACCCTTTCCGCAAATCCTCTCAGCACATTCCTACGTCACACAAAATCTACACGCCCGAGGCTTTCCTTGTGCGACGAAACTTCTCTTTCTTTCAACATCACCTAAAAAGCGGACATAGCTTTTTGTAAATGTTCAAAACGATTTAAAAACCGCGCAGGAGGTAAAACTACTGCACGACTTCTTGTGAAGTTTTACCCCCGTTAACAAGAGCAGAGTTCAGCGGCGTCTCACCTGCAGATGAATCCGAGGACTGTCTCAGCTGGAGTGGACGCCAGGGAGACAAAAGCAGAGTGTTTCAACGTTTCAACTTGCCGACTAGATCACTGCAGTCGCCACCCTCTGGTAGAAGAAGGAAGTGCATCAACTTACTTCCTGTAAACATCAACAAACACGGTTTAGCCCATCGACATACATACAGTAGCTGCGTTGGTTAGCCCAACGCAGCTACTTTAGAGGCATGTTTTCTTTCCCTCTACAAACTCGTGTGTGTGTGTGTGTGTGTGTGTGTGTGTGTGTGTGTGTGTGTGTGTGTGTGAGTGTGTGTGTGTGTGTGTTTATAGGTTAAAGTGGACCTGCACTGTGTGGACATTTTTGTATTGTGGGGACATTTTGCTGGTCCACACAATGCTAATCCCCTAAAAACTGGTTTTGAAGGTATGGCGTGAATTAACTTTTAGTTTAGGTTAGGAAAAAAACCCCAATGGTTAGGGTTAGGGTATGGGTTAGGCCACAAACCTACACCTTCTTGCTGCAAGGCAACAGCTCTAACCACTGTGCAGCCCTAAAAGAGCTAATATAAATGATTTGATTTGACAAAAGTAAGAAAATAAATTATGAATAAAATCATATGGATAGTAAAACAATAATATTAAATAATGAAACAATGGTAAAATATAATAAAATAAAACATGCAAAGCAAGCAATAAAATATAATCATATAAAACAAGAAATGAATGGTGCCTATCTCCAGCGGTCAATGGGCAATCAGGTGGGGTACACCCTGGACAGAGAGCCAGTCCATGGAAGGGCAACACAGAGACACACAGGACAAACAATCATGCACACACACATACACACACACACACTCACACCTAAGGACAATTTAGACAGACCAATTAACCTAACATCATGTTTTTGAACTGTGGGAGGAAGCCGGAGTACCCGGAGAGAACCCATGCATGCACAGGGAGAACGTGCAAACTGGTCGGGAAGCGAACCCAGGACTTTCTTGCTGCAAGGCAACAACCACTGCGCCACTGTGCAGCCTTAAAAGAGCTAATATAAATGACAAAAGTAAGAAAATAAATAATAAATAAAATTATATGGACAGTAAAATAACAATATTAAATAATGAAACAATGCTAAAATATTATAAAATAAAACATGCAAAGCAAACAATAAAATATGTAAAACAAGAAATGAAACTATGATAATTAATTAGATAAAAGCTAACCTAAATAGGTGGGTCTTGAGCCAGGACTTAAAAACATGAACGTTCTCTGCGGCCCTGAGGTCCTCCGGCAGCTTGTTCCAGAGGCGAGGGCCGTAATACTGGAAGGATGCCTCGCCGTGGAAAAAACATACCAAAGCACGAATGAAAAAAAAAGTGTAATGTTTTTGATATGTTCCTTCTCAGACACACCTGGTTCTAACTGCTGAATAATCTCCTCAGCCTTCATCGGGTTCTGCAGGAGCTGCTAATCACTCATTCTAATTAAATCCACCGGGTTCAAGCAGGGAAACGTGGAAAACCGGCAGGAATCGGGCACTTGTCATGCTAGCTCTCTCCTGCTAATGCTACAAAAGGCTAAGTTTACAGACTGACATTAATGCAATGGGTTAGCATAGCTGTGTGTCACTCCGCAGTTATTTTAAAAATGTTAAACAACTTAATCCGGCTTTAGAAAGGATTCTGTGCAGTTTTATAAATAAGGCCGTTGATCATTATCAAAAAGGTCAACACACACAGTCTTGAACAATAGCTAAAGAAAAATGGTTGCTTGACGAAAGCGCGACGGCCCCTTTGAATGAGCTTAACTAAATCTGAGTTGTGCCGAAGCATCGAAGCCGCTTCCCGCCGGTGTTTGAGATTTGACGTCCTTGTGAAATTCATCCTGGATACAAAACTGATGAAACCTGCAGAAACCAACTGCATTACCTCACCCCAACTTTTTGTTGGTCTCCATCCAGTCATAACATTATTCAGCGTCCTATCTGTTTATGGTATGCTGATTTCCACGGTATGCGTTTCTGAACCAGAGCTGAAGCGACGAGGAAACCAACTGCTGATGAAGGCGTTGAGCTAATGGGTGAAGACAGAGTGGATTGTGTCCCCGATAAAAGCAGACCTGATTGCTTTGTAGAAAGTTTTTATTTTTAGATAATACTTCTACACACTTTTCCTGAGGTCTGTTTCCTGCCTTCTATCTGACAAAATCCCTTCGTTAATGTGATGTAGGGTATTTTTAAAACTCCACACAGGACAGCCACAAGCTAGCTAAATATGTTTGAAACCTTTGAACCAAAATATGAAAACTAAGATGGTTTCTAAGCTTGCCTCCTCATGTTTCTGCCACAAGGTGGCAGCAGATTCATTCCATGATGCTTCGGAGATAAGAGCACTCCTGAAAATAATGCAGCAAACACAAACTATTAAAACAGGACAGCATTCACATGTTCTCGTGCATTTTACATGTTGCTAATGCAGCTTTTTCATTTATCCAACCCACCAAACGTAAGTGATTAGGACCCTAATTTTGATCGTTAAGAGGAAAACAATCAAGTACTGAAGTCTTCCCTTCAGAAATGAGCTGACATTATCTAAAGGTAGCGGTGAATGACCAGCTGCACACAGCCACCACTACTACTACAGGATTTTTCCTCACAACAAAGGTCAAATGCAGTCGTTCAAACCTGCAGAGTTCAACTTTGCATGCAAGAAATCTTTGTGGCTTCTCCAGTGTGTTCTTGCTTTTGGTTTCTATTTAAATACAACAAAATGTTAACATTTTAAGATGATTTAACAATGGATTTGGTGTACACATGCACGAGAAACCGTTTTTTAAATTATTATAAATAAAGCTTTGCAACAAGAGGTAAAAAAAAGTTGCAGTAATTTATACTTCTCACTTTATCTTGTGTGGAGTTGTCGTCTTCCTCCGCTTATCCAGGTCCGGGTCGCGGGGGCAGCATCCCAACTAGGGAGCTCCAGACCGTCCTCTCCCCGGCCACCTCCACCAGCTCCTCCGGCAGGACCCCAAGGCGTTCCCGGACCAGATTGGAGATGTAACCTCTCCAACGTGTCCTGGGTCGACCCGGGGGCCTCCTGCCAGCAGGACATGCCCGAAACACCTCCCCAGGGAGGTGTCCAGGAGGCATCCTGACCAGATGCCCAAACCTCCTCAACTGACTCCTTTCGATCCGGAGGAGCAGCAGTTCTACTCAAAGTCCCTCCCGAATGTCCGAGCTCCTCACCCTATCTCTAAGAATGAGCTGGCCACCCTACGGAGGAAACTCATTTCGGCCGCTTGTATCCGCAATCTCGTTCTTTCGGTCATTACCCAAAGCTCATGACCATAGGTGAGGATTGGAACGTAGATTGACCGGTAAATCGAGAGCCTGGCTTTCTGGCTCAGCTCCCTCTTCACCACGACAGATCGGCTCAGCGTCCGCATCACTGCAATCCGCCTGTCGATCTCCCGATCCCTCCTACCCTCACTCGTGAACAAGACCCCGAGATACTTAAACTCCTCCACTTGAGGTAGGACCTCTCTCCCGACCCGGAGTTGGCAAGCCACCCTTTTCCCGAGTTGTCGGTTTGAAACTGTTAGTGGTTCTTTATGAGACAGAATGTTTTTTTTTTTAGCCAAGCTAAGGCTCGGTTCACACAGCAGGATTAAACAATTGTTGGCCAATTCTCAAAACACAGTGATAAAAAAAATCACAAGTGTACCACTTATAGGTGGGCCCCTATGGAATATACATGGGCAAGCGGTATGGGCCCCAATAGGGTTTGTCCATGGTTTCCACAGTGTCCCTATGGGGGATTTCCCAGAAGGAATTTTGCCCACATAGTTTTAAACGGGCCCTACATGGGCTTTCAGAGGCTCCATTAAAACGTTTGTGGGCTAACCCCTGTGAGGCCTCCGATAGAACAGCTGTTTTGGTCCTACTGTGTGGTGCGCAGCCACACAGCAAAAACCACACACAAACTGATTTCCCATTCAAACATTGCCCATCTGATGGGAATCTCAAAAAAACACTCAAGGTCTAACTAGACTTCTGTTAGATAATTTGTACTCTCAGAATTCTGAGTCACTTCAGCTTTCAGGGGCGACGGTGGCACAGGAGTTAAGTGCTCGCCTCGCAATCGGAAGGTCGCAGGTTCGAGATCCGCTCAGTCTGTCGCTGTCGTTGTGTCCTTGGGCAAGACACTTAACCCACATTGCCTGCTGGTGGTGGTCGGAGGGACCGGTGGCGCCAGTGCTCGGCAGCCTCGCCTCCGTCAGTGTGCCCCAGGGCAGCTGTGGCTACATTGTAGCTCATCCCCACCAGTGTGTGGATGTGTGTGTGAATGGGTGAATGACTGATTGTGTTATAAAGCGCCTTGGGGGGTTCCAGGACTCTAGAAGGCGCTATATCAAATACAGGCCATTTACCATTTACCATTTCCATCAGACCGTCTGTCCACTTTTATGAGGTCATCACTGTTTCTTCTTTCACTTCAGATTAGCTGCAACACCCAAATTATATTCACAACATCCTTTGTAGTATAAGACGTGTCATACAGCCACGTCTTTGCACATTTCCTTGTACTGATCCAGTGGAAATGACCCGTGTCACAAACTGGTTGGGGCCGAGCTAAGACGAAAAACCAATGTATGCCCCTTTGGCTGACGATTACCACTGGTGGCTTCAGGAGGTCAGTGTGTATCATTTGGACCATTTTTATATGCTTTTTCAAGATAAACCAACTTAAACCAATGTACAAAATAATAGTCACTTTTGAGAGTGAATCAGGAGCAGAGTTAGTGTGGGACCGGTGTTCTTCCCCTGGAAGTAAACAACCAGGAAATTAAGGTTCGCTAGCTGGAGATGATCTAGACAAGAAAGGAATTTTCTATGAACTGTAAACAATAGCAAATGGTGCTGAAACTCGATTTCAAACGAGGGTTTTGACCACAACTGCATCTCTTATAGATACAGAAATTCATGAGTTGATTCTGGCACACTGTACTGTATTGAATCAAAAGGAAAAAAAGTGTTTTGTGATGGTTGTTAGGAAGAATGTCCAGATTTGATCACATGATCGGAAATTGGTCCCGATCACATGGTTTCAGACTCAATCGGGATTGGCTGTTACTTCCTGATCCAGACTCGGATGAAGGGTTC